GAAGACTGAGAAATGTACAAGCAATCATATGGTTAAAAAATTTTGAAAATCGGCCGGTAACAACTTGAGTTATGAGTGTGTAAACACAAAATTGTGATTGCCGCGTTTCCCGCGTCGGCCGACGCCGCTTCAGCCGGCGACATCTTACCCTTAGCAGGCTTCTAACTGCCATATTTATTGTTGGATTATCTAGAAATTCACCATACATACTCACAAATGTTTGTTCTTTCGTATAGTGAAAGATTTAAAAAAATCGGCCGGTAACTTTTTGAGTTATCGGCGTGGAAGCGCAAAAAAGTCGCTAATATGGCAGATTTGACCACATTTGACCTCATTTGACCTTGAAGATATTGACCTAAGGTCATGAAATTCACACACAACAGAGTTCCCCACGGCCCCCACCTACCCTCCAAATTTCGTCTTTCTAGCTCCACTGGGAGCTGAGATCTTAGGGGGGGCGACATCCGCCCCCCCCCCCTTCCACTGGGCGTAGTATTCGCAACCCTTCCACTGCGCGTGTTAACCCGCGCACCGACGGGGGGGGGGCGGATATCCGCCCCCCCTGAGGTTTTTCGCGAATAGCGGGAAAACCGCGGCGCGTAGCGCCGCGAAATTTGGTATGACTATTCCCTTATCCATTTTACACATGGTGTGCAAGTTTGAACCTCCTATTTTTCAAGGTCAGGTCACCAGGTCACTTTGAATGACCCAACCTCAAGTCACTTTTTTGCAACTTTGTCACCGTGCCAGAGCTACAGTAGATGTCGGAGGCCTTTGAAAGTCGCAGGATGTTATTAGGTCATTAGTAGCTACAATTTGTATATCTCGGAATTTTGATATCGGTGACCTAAGGTCAGGTCAATTTCGCGACCTCCCCATTATAAGTCAATGGGGGAAAAATCAACTCCCTGTTTTTACCACTAAAACGGGTCGGAATGGCCCCATATACCATACATGACTTCATATACGATCAACCTTCACTACCTTGAGGTCTGTTTTGCTGTTGGGCAGCTGTGAGGTCATGTGACGTCATCAAAGGTCACCAAAGGTTTTTGGCCAATAACTCCGTACAGGAACAAGATACAGACGCGTGGATGGTCTCATTGTGTTCAGCTCGTCAAGACGCATCGAATGATATACATGATGACCTCGAGGTCACGTGACCTGAGGTCAACCTTTGACCTTGACCTTTCGAGGTCAACATATATATCATTCGATGCGGATTGACGAGAGGATCACGATGATGCCCTTAGTTTGTTCCTATCTTGACCAATTCGAAAGTTATTCGAGAAAAACTCTCCATATTTAGCACCGCCATTTTGGCTTTTTCGACCCCTGTGACGTCATCTTTGACCTGACCTGAAAATGACCTTAGTAAAAATTGTAGATCTTGACCGTGCGTATCCGATGCCGTTTACCGCTTGTCGCTATCTTGCTTCGTTCTCGAGATCTCAAGGGGGGCGGTCATCCGCCCCCCCCCCCCCCGTCGGTACTAAGTTGGCGCAGACCCCCGTCGGTGCGCGGGTTAATTTTATTTCAATGGGGAGTTCTGCATTGGAAATATGTATTACTACTCGTATTTCACTTACCTGAAACGTTTTATTTTCTAATGAGTGCACAACAAAGCATCTGTTTTTACACAATTCCTTCGAAGTTACGATACATTGTTGCAGTGATGTGCGTAAGTTACGCACTATGCACGGTTTGTTTTATGCTGGCTTTCACGCACTGACTGCTGAGTGAGAATGCTGAGCATATGCCAACAGGGAAAACATTGCGTTGATGTGTGAGGGGAGAGTGCTTACTGCAATTTGTTCATTAGTTCTTAAACGGTTCTTGTCCCAAAGCTGGTTGCGTTTATGATTGTCGACAAATGCATGCTTCTTCCATTGTGGTTGAAAGGCTCCTGCGATGAAAAGATCCGCCCTGGATAGCTAGACCACCCTAGATAGCTACACCTTTTTATTGCTTCCTGGCATCAGCGCGGAATCATCAAAGAAGCGAGAGCCATCCGCTGAGACGACTGTGCAACTTAGGCAGGGAAGAGACCTCGCATACTGTCCTCAGTCGCTTCCGTCTGCGGATTTTCACCACCAACGTTCGTTTTTCTTAAGTTTGCCCCTCACTGTAAACGTCTTTTTGAACATAGCACGAGAATTGCTAGCTGAATTACTGAGAAAACTGGTTGGCGCACACTGATTTGACAAGATTTCATAGACGATCAATTTCATCAAATTTATTTACTATTTCACAGACTCGTAAATCGTACTTGCCAATACCTACAGGCCCACAGGGATAGACGATTCCTCAGGAATTATGTCTGAACTAATAAATAAATTGCACGGCGCTTAACATAACGTCAAATCGTCGGTGTTAAAAACTTATTTTTGAAAATATTATTCATATCTACAATACAATGTGCGCTAACCAGTTTTCTCAGTAATTCAGCTAGCAATTCTCGTGCTGTGTTCAAAGAGACGTTTACAGTGAGGGGCAAACTTAAGAAAAACGAACTATATCAGCAGAATAAACGGGAACTGCGGAGCCGTATAGGTCGTCCGCACTTGGTCGTATAAGAAGCGTTTGGCAATAAACTGGTCATGACCCTTGATAGCGCCGGCGCTTTGGGGCACGGTCGGATGCGTGAATCGACGAAATGATTTGGGAGGCCGAAGGCTATGTGACAATTTTCTTGACATTTCTGTGTTCCTAAAATGCAGGTATGTGGTTGTTTGTAGAAACGACCTAACAAGGATAACTGTCAGATTTGTACGAGAAAAAATGTCTTAAATTTAATTACTGATTCGCAATTGTACAGTACAAAATGTGCTAAATCGTTCCGTAAAAAATGGGATGTGCTTAAAAAACAATGCAACTAAGCTTTACAAAGCGCAGAATTGATGTCATTACTGAAAATACTGCAGTAGCTTGTCAAGCTGTGCAGTGTGCGTGGAGAAACACTTAAACCGTACATGTAAAAGATTTACAAGTTATTCGAATCCATACATCTAAAAGATTGTGAAGTTATTAAAATATTCAAAGATCATCATCCAGCAGAACGATATACCAGTATTAGTTACAGTGCCTACATATACGATGTAACTATATATGAACCATTTTTGACCAACGCAGCTTCCACTTTGTTCATTATCCGTCATGAAAATAACCACACTCGTGCGTCATTGCGAGCTACTGGAGCAGAGAAGTTTGACAAAATCGACTGGTCGGCAAACTTTTGAGGAAAACTCCGTAACGCTGACGCCAGTGTTAATCTGATGGATTATTGTACTTTGGTTTACAGTAGCGCGTGATAGATGTAGTAAGTTTGGCAACTGATGTCAGCAAGATGGAAGTCGTTCACCCAAAGCGTTTCTAAAAGGAACGGAGGACGCCAATCAACATTAATCAGTGTCTTATGTGTGCACGCTGCAGTCACGGCAGTCCAGACAAGTTTCTATGTAGCGATAACTTAGCCCGGTCCTCATATTGAAAATCTTTGAAATATCGCTTATCAAAACTCAGATCGTTTTTCTTTTACATAGTGATCAAGAAGAAAACATGTCCTGAAGACACGCCGTGCTCGAGGCCTGAAGTGAGCATATCAGGCAGGTCTTCGCTTTGCTTTACTGGTAGGTATATAGGTACATATTTCTTCGTGATACGCTCTTCTCCCGAAACAGATTTGAGTTTGTTTATAATTGTTTGTTGATGCGTTGCGCCCAGACCGTGTTGCGTCGGTTGTGGCGTTGCAACTGCCGATAAATTGATAAATGTCTCAGCCAGCTGTTTCTCCGTACAAGTGAGATATTTGAGTCCAACACAAATTAGTCCCCAGCATTATTTAAGTTGTATCTTCAAATATTGAACATCAGTTAGAATCGATTTCGTTTCTTCTGAATTACATACAATGACAACATGATCAATACAACAAAATTAAACAGCAGACATTTCTGACACAAAGTGCATTGGCGTTATGGTGAAAATATAAATGTATCATTTACATTGAATAAGTATAAATAACAATTATCCCGCAAATATTAAAATGTTGTGCTGGCTAATTGCTATCTATCCTACATCGATTAAAATGTATACTTATAATGTTTAACTGACGAAGTTTGACGTTCCATCGTTACGTCATTTGTCCCTGGTAGCGATTTCTGACAGGTATAATTCTAGGGAAAAAATGACAAAAATAAGTTTACCTAATTCCTTCCAAAACTGCATGATGGTTGGGTTTGGATGACAATCTTACTTCTTACTTGCTTCAATCTTACTTGCTTCCTCAAAGCTTTCCTGGCAATCGTAATTAAGTATCAGCTGAACCATTGTTTTGGCACTTTAATACCGGACGGGCGTCGAAATAAGTGCGAAATTGGAAGCACCACAGACAAAACAGTCAGCTTCTCGGAAATCGAGTCAGCTCGTTCATTTCCGAACGGAGGGTAGCCGCCAAGGAGGCATCGATTGACCGGACTCTGGCCTGAGGACTAGTTTTATGCTCTTTTACCTTGGACGGCCACGCAGCGAAGGACTACAAAGTTCACAATCCTATGATAGGAGGAGTTTAACGACCGCGAATTGTACAGAGCGATGATGGCTAGTTCAAACTTTGTACCATTGTCTGCAAACAGTGAAATATACATTCTATGCTCCTTTGCTTCAGATCATTCTTATAGAAGATTATTTTGTGTTGACACAACTTTTTGTGATCTGTGAACACACAACTTTTTGTGTTCACAGATCTCACTCTCACTGTCACGGTCGCCAGCAATCGCCTGCAATATCTGTCTCACTCCCTTGATCTGTTGGACCTTTCTGCGGCTTTATAAAAGTTAAGTGAGCCTCTGTGATCCTCTGAGTTCGACCTCGGTTTCCAGGCAGCACAAGGGCCATCTGCTTCACCCCTCCCCTCCCTACTGAGCTCTGGTCACAAATGCCATCATTAAAGTAAACTGTGATGGACTGTGTGCGGCACAGCGGCTGGTCTGTGCCGTGACCACAATCAATGCTCGTCTGGCCAGTCGGACCGCACCGGTTCGGTCGGCGGCGGCGGCCGTGGCGGCGGCGACTGCGTGGTCGGCGACGGCGCGCCCCCGTCGACGGTCGGTGGGCTGGCGCGCGGGGATCTCGCGTCCGACCGCACTGTGCGTCCGGGCGGGGCCGCGACAGCAGCGGGCAGGTCGCAGGGCGGCGCTCGCGCTCGGGAGAAATAGAGCCGGGGGTGGAGGCAGTCGGGCCGAGTTGACATCAATCGTTGTAGGGACACCAGGTGACTGGAAGGAGCCCCGAAGCTGCGGGGTTCTTGAGGACTTGGACATCGCCGGACTTGTGACTGAGAGAGGTTCAACTCGCTGGAGAGGCACCCGTCCGGCTGGAGTCGAGAGAACTGGAATCTCCTGATGGTCGTGATGTCTGATGGGTGACCTCCACGGGTGGTGGCCTCTCCAACGGGATCGACCTGCTGAGCGGCAGTAGCGGCAGCATACCTGCAGCTTCGAGAGTGAGGTAAGTCCAGTTCGACTTTCGAATTTTACCGCAGCAGTAAGTGGCTACGCTGGCATCCTGTTTTGCTGATTCGTGAATGCTGATTACGAGCAGACGAGTGAAAGGAAATATTTTCAATGTAACGGAAAAAATATCAGCATGAGCGGCCCAGCCCGACCCGGCCTGTAACGATTTTGAAAGAGATATCTCAGCAAGCGCTGGGCCGCGGCGTCTTCAACTGGTTCACTTGTTTTGGAAGCCAATCGTCCTCATGAAGATGAGCGAAGGCTTATAATCAATAGCTAAAAACACTATTCATTAGACTTGTGTTATTCTATTGATGAGCCAACTGAATAGCGCTGCAAGGCGACACACCAGTCCTTTTTGTAATGAGCAGTGGCTACATTCCCTTATAGGTATTGTTAACAGATGGACCAATGTCTTATTGATGAAAAGTATGTGTACTTTTACGAGCAACTGATCTAAGATATGGTTTTATTTGTCATATTACCTACACTTGGACGTGTTAGCGGCCGGCCAAAAACTATTGTTTTGAAAACTAATTCCAAAATGAAAGCGGCATCTTTGATAAGGCAGCTATACATAAAATGCATTTAAAAAGCAACGTAAGCTTTACGACCAAGGGCACATTAGAAACAAAAAGTCTGGCCTTTTAGTTCGAGCATCCATTTATTTATTCCGGTGGAACAAATATTCCCTACTTTTTTTGCACGCAAGCATTTATTTCATACAAACAGCGCCTCTGCACTCAAGAAAATAGCAAGTGGAATTCAATTACAAAATTCCGTTCTGATCTCGCATCTAGACAAAATGGCAAAGTGTAGGTGAGCTGATTCAGATTTAAAGTCTCGCCGGCGCGGCGCGGTGGTCGGAAAAGCGTGTCAGAACAACAAAACCGCCTCGCAGGACCACTTTGGGTCGGCACCTCACGTTCAGCCAGTATATCTCACGGGCCAGGGATTATTGCGTGCGCCGTCACTCTCTGGTGATCGTTTGTTGGGCTCCGAGTCTGGCTGTGGTTCGCCAGCAGGCCAGATTTTGCTGAGTTTACTGGAAGTCTGTCGCTGTGGTGGCAGAGGTATGGAGGTTCTGGGATACCCATGGCCGGTGGTGGGTGTTTTCCAGCCGCGGGCAAATGAGTGGATGGACTGGAGATGTCCCCCGCGAACGTTGGATGAAGACGAAATCATTGCTCCTGTCTGTGTTCGGCCATCCCGCTGAGTCGCAAGCCCGCGAGATGGCACACTGTAGTTTGCGCCGCTACACAGCTCTTAGGCGTAAGTACCCATACGGAGGTTTTCATTAATTGCTAAAGCTCAAATTTAAAAGATGTTCCAGCACGGAAAACGCGAGAGAGATATTGTAATAGTTGTTGAAAGCATAGGTTCAATTGAGTATGAGCTCAAAACACAAACTACACTTACGACATATTACGAATCGCCAAAATCACCTCCAAAAGTCAGATTTTATTGTTTGCGCAGTTAAATATCATTGGAAGGATGCTTTGATGGCTCCATTATTGCCATAAAAAGATCGTTAATCATCGAAGTCAACAATCACTTCATTTAATTGGAACGAGTGCGATCGAGTGAGTCCCAATACCACCCGTTTCAGAGCGGCGTCTGGAGATATTTCAGCCCGATTAGCGAGGCGCTCGGGGCGGAGTTTGCCGCTGCCAGCGTCCTCCATCGTCCGTCCGATCGAGGAGGATAGGCCACAAAAAAACTATTTCGAGCGCATCCGACGGTGTGCCGCCCGGTCCGCAGTTGAGCATGCGACTGCAGCATGAGATTAGGTGTCTGCAGAGAGCTTTTTCGGCGTTTTTGAGCGTTTGAAGGGAGTGTGACGACCGATAGTTTGCTCTGAAGCTGCTCTGGAGCCTCGAGGCTCGATTGAAGGTGCCTTCTGGAGATTGAAAGCTACCCAACCGTCGCAGCGTGAAAACGTAGGTTGTCGCATTGCTCGACTTGTTTATAGATGTAGACACAAATGTCCTAGTTTTCTAGACAACATGAATATACATAACTATTGATACTAAACTTACATCAGCCGAATTATAGCAGAACCCACGCTCGACTTTCTTTTTCTTTTTCCTTCTCCACCGTGTTCTCTGAAACACCTTCCCTTGAATTCATAGAGCCTTTATTTTTACATGAATCCCTTTGTCTCGTCTCGTTTTCTATCAGCAGCGGAGGGGAAATAACACGCCGGCAGAAGCGCACTACTAAAATGTTTAAGCCGGGCGTCGGTATAGCCCACGTGGAAGGATGAGACTCTGCGATGGCGGGCGGGTGAAGCCTTTGATGAAGGTTTTTCCTATTCCGACACTTGACTCTGAAGTTCTCTGAATGTAAACAGCGCAGTGTCAACAATTTAATGATCGCTTGGCCCAATGCTGATGAGGAATATCGTCGGAAAAAGTTATTTTTATTGAAAGGAGCCATTAATTTTGAATGGCAGCGGTTGTTGCTTGCAATTGCTATCCGTTTTACCCACACTAGACTCCCGTTGTATTACATGCAGGCTTTAGTAATCCATAGGCTGTATAGCTGGCTCATGGCGTGCGCTATATTTTGTCTATATGTTTCCAGCCTTCATTTCTTACTGACAGTCATGTGAACCATTTGCGATTCACATCATGAGGCTGCATAGTGCATGTGTCCTTTGATGGTTGAGTCAATAATATGAGCTCGCAGCTTCCCTGCGTCCAAACTCGTAATGATCTCGCCAACTATCTGCTGTATGATCGGCGTACACTTTGCATGACAAGTGAAGACACTCACACCGCCCATGCTTAACTGTATATTTCTGAATTAGATTAAGTCCGTAAAAATCCGAGACATTTTATCACGAATACAATGCTAACTGCAGCCCTATCTCATCTGAAATCTCAGGAAATTTTACTATCTTCCTACACGGCCTGGGAGGAGCGGTCTTCCTCCATACACTACGGACATCGTGAAGACTCATGTCCAGCGCTCACAACACATCGTTCCAGAAATGGTCAGTGGCTATGGCCACGTTCTCTGACGATATCATGGCCCCAGTGTTGCTGCCGTGCCGTTTCGAGGAGGCCCGCGCACAGAGCGCCAGTTTCGGACCGCGCTTATCGGCCGGTCGGCCGGGGCCCGTCACCGTGGCCGTGATACCGGCTCACAAGTTCCTCGCCGGAGATAAGCGCTGCTGCATGGCGGTGCCGTTCAGTTAGGCCGCGCCAGGGCCGACTGTTCAAGCGTCCCTAAAGCAGCGATCTGGCGGCTGCAGCGCCGCAGGAAGCGGTCCCAGTTTACGAGGCCGCGCTCCAGATAGCTGGTCGGTCGGCCAGAGGCGACCGCACTGATCACTCGCCTGCCCTGGTTCGGATCGTCGCTATAGAACCAGTCACATCCACGTTTCTCTTCAGTCTGATTAGAATTGTGATGTCACGTTTGCTCTAAAAATGCAGTGCAGGTGTGGCACTAAATCATACAAAAAAGAAGTAGCTAAGATTTATGTAATTCAGTAAGGCTTCAGTTTTAAGTGCAACTTTATGAGATAACAGTTGAAAAATGTATTACACATTGCGCATGAATTAACATTTGATTTCGTGAAGGCAAAATTAACCATTGCAATTCCAGTGTTCCTAAAAGTGGGACACTAGACGCCTAAATCAGTGCAAGCATACCACTGGCTTTCATCAAGAAGCTGACGTTTATTTTATCGCGCAACGAAGATATCGCGCATTCCACCGCATAAACTGTGAGACTTTTCCAGTCCAAGCAAATCATAATGAATGTCCCGACTAAGCGGAAAATCAGGGGCATGGCTTTCATTTATGGCAAGTTTGGGGACAAGTGTAGCGTTTGTTTGACTGGATTAGAGTGAAACCATGCATTCATTACTGATGAGTGTTGACAGGGGCTCTATCTTCTAGAAACAAGTTGACGGTCAAACTGACCAAATGTCGTTGAAGTGTCGCAATAAGATTGAAAGACATGTGGCTATCCCCCGGAAACGAATCGAAAATGCGAAATAGATTGGCGGGAAAGGCTCGGGGATTAAAACCTAATCGAGCGAGCTGCCAATTCGTGGACAACTCACACCTGATATTCCGTGGGAAACCGTGGCCTGGCTTCGTCGCCGCGCAGCCAAGCGCCAGCAGGTCCACCTCTGAATGATGCATCGCTTTTATTATGCAAGCGGCCAGTTCGACGTCTCAAATTCTGAAAGCCTTTGAGCGAATGGTGGCTATGGGGCCATTGTCAGCCCAAGGACATGCGTCAATGCTGGTTGGTCTCTATGAGCGTGAGCGCCACCATTGAAATGCACATGCGTAGGAAATGGAAAGGTATTCACGGACAAATGGGCAGGAATAGAAACATACACGTGCGTACAACATGAACAGGTTTGGTTCCGTTAAAAGGAGCATAGAAAGACATGTGTTTGTAAGATTAGTCGTATGTGAATAAAGAGCTGTAAAGCCAGACGATTTCATTGAAAGTATTTGTTGCTATAGTAGAAATACGTTATACGAGTATACCTACAACACGCCAATGTTAACCTGAAAGTATAAAAAGATCACTCATGACCTTGTTTGTCATGAATACTGAAAACTTATTAATAAAGAATCAATATTCCACTATGTCTTATTCAGCATGAACATCAAATATAAGCGCGATATCTGACACTATAAACTATGGCTGATGAGTTCTCGCTGAAATTTCAACTGTTCCGAATTCCTCATTTCCATTTCCGTGATGGTGGCACAAACATGTCAGCTATTCATGTCTGCGTGACACCAAGCTGGTCACGAAAGGGAACGCCCCCCCCCCCTCTCCAAGGTCAAATAGCAGTCGTGCAGATGTTCGACGTTGGTAGGATAAGACCGTCGGCTTCATCAGTTTCGTGTTTCTTTTCTCTCTTTTTTTATAAACGTTGAAGGCAGCAGCCTTTGCAACAGTCTTTTCACTTTTAAAATCCGTATTGAAATAGATATGGCAAGATAAGGGGATGAAGAATAT